AAACGCTGGAAATCAAACCAAAGACTAAGTCACAGTGACATTAAGTCACAGCAACTCCAGTCTATCTGGCCTCCCACGCACCCTGAAGGGGCTCTACTGCCCCTAGTCTGCTGCCACCTTAGTTACCTCAACAGGGACTGGACGGCAAGCCAATAACTTTGATGCTGGGGGTTCCCTCTGAGGAGCCCTGCCTCCAAGATTCCCCTATTCCTCTTCCAAGACCATGGGGTTCTCACCTATTCCTTAACCTCTCTCTTCAGGAAGTCCCTGCTGCTACCTTACCACCATCCTCCCTGTTGAAGGTCATCCTCTGCCCCTGCAGGTATCTCTGTGTATAGAGGCTTGTCACCCACTATTCCTCCTTCACAGGCAGATGTCTCTCCCTACCTGCACATGAGTGAGTTCCTTGGACAAGGACATATCCTGTCCTTTATATCCCTAGAGCCGGGCAGACCGCAGGTGCCAGGCAGGGTTGAAGAATGAACAAATTAATCCATCCACAAATGGATCCTAGTAAATTTTCCTACTATTTTCTTCCCAGATCTCCCTTCTCTCCCTCTTGAATGAGCCTTGGGCAGACTTGCAGCCATACCCAGCCGTCAGCACCGAGGTCTTCCTGCTGCCAGCCCCTCAGGCTGCAGGCTCTCCGGGTGACTTGCTCATTCCCGGAGCCCCACCTGTGCCTGGACCCTCCCTCACAGGCAGCACACCCACAGTACGCACTGGTGGGCCATCCCAGAGCCTCAGGACCCGGCCGCCTCCCTGTGCCGTCCCACCTCCTCCCAGCCAGGCGTTTCAGCAACAGGTTGGCGTTGAATTCTGGCTCTTCCCTCTGTAAGCAGGAGACCTCGCTGCCTCCTGCCCATCCCTCTTTCCCACTGCGCAACACCAGCCCAAGAAACAGGGACAGGACTGCGGAGCCCTGGGACTGGCACGGGGCCAGAGGTGACTGAGCAGAGCAGAGGGAAGAGTCAGAGTGCACAGGACTGAGCTCATGGCCCAGGCAGCCCAAGCCTGGCTCTCCCCTCTCCATTCCTGTGTTCCCACCTGCAAAATGGCCAGGCCCCCGGTCTCCAAGGCCCTTCCAGTGCCACCTCCGGTGGGACTAAAACTTCCCAGGCTAAGGCCCCAGCTCTGCCCAGTTCATTCTTCCGAACATTTGAACATCACAAAGTTGTACCTGGACTGTGGGGACAGCTCAGTGGAGCCCTGGCCCAGCACGCCCTGGGTTCCGCCCCCAGTACTGCAAAAAAAGGAAAAGTTTGCCCGTCCCTGATGCCACTGAACTTTGTCTCTGTCACTACCGGTGACAGAATCTGAAGGTCACAGGACATCAGAGCTGGAAAGGCCTCCACATTCACCTAAGGCAAGGATCACAGCAAGAGTCTTCAGGGGCCAGAGGGAAGCTAGCTTGAGGGGGCAGGCCAGGGGACTCTGGGGACCCGAATAGGACAGACTCCAGTTAAAGAAGATACTGTGCCCCTCAGCTCCAGACACAATGGCATGCACCAACACGAGCCCTATCATCAACTCTTTGGATCTGACATGAGAAGTCCCAAATCTATAATTTTTTTTTTTTTTTACAAAAGACCAAAAAATGCAATTTTAAGGACTTGAACATTTTTTTTCCCTTTCCTCCTCTTTGGAGGATACATTAAATGTCCACCAGGACGTTTTGATCTTGGGGCACCTCTCAGCCATCCTGCCTACTTGTTCAACAGTTGACTGCTCTGTGGTCGGCCTGCCTGAGGTCACAGAGCCATCAGAGGCTGGACTCCGGATTCCTTTCTTGACTCCCAGGTCCCAGCTTCCTCCTAAGCCCCCGGTGAATGGTCATGGTAGGACCCATGCAGGGCTCTTGGCTTCCTCCCGCAGACCTGCCACAGGCCACTTTCACCCTGGGGCCACACCTACTGCGCCTCCCTCTGGCCTACAGGGTACACTGCACACCCACCCAACTGCAGAGCCCAACACAAGAGTCACAGGAATCTGACACAGTACCCTCAGCTCTTGGGTCCACCTTCCTTTCCCCCCCTAGACTCTGCCACTTTGCCCCTGACCCAGGAAAGAGTAACATTAATTAACTGTCATTTGTATCCTCTTTAAACCTCCTATCAACTCTCATTTTACAAGTGCAAACGCACAGAGAGTTTTAGCAACTTGCTGGAGTCACACAGCTAGAATATGTGCCAATGGAACCCAGAGTATTTCATTCCACTCTCCCAGGGATGGAGAATTCTCTCCCTGCTCCAGGAGCAATACAGTCATCACGCAGGAACAAGAGGTTATGTACCCACGGATGGTGCTGTGTTAACTGTCCTCTTCACTCCTTCGCAAAGGGCTGGCCCTGGGGCTCCAAGAAGGGGGTCAGCTGAGCTCAGGTCTGGCTCAGTGGAGGCCAGGAGCAGGGACACATGGAGGGAGGCCAAGGACAGTGCTACTATTACAGGGGTCAACATGAGACCGGCGGCTCTCCAGGGGCTCCAGAAAAACCAACACGATATTTAGATGCAGACAGGGTCTCCCCACTGCTCCTGGGGCTCCCCTTCCAGTTAAAACATGCTGCCTCCCCACACCCCACCCACACTCAGCCTCTGAGGTCTGGGGAGCTCAGATCCCCACCAGAGCCTCCACAGACCACTAACTAGATGTTCACTGCACAAAGGTACAGCCAAGGCGTGAATGGGGACTCCATCCTGTCTGTGCCCACTTAGTGAACCTTGGCACACCAGCCTGGAGCACCAGGCACTTGATCCCAGTGCCCACCAAGGCCCCACACAGCCAGAGGAGGTCCTGCCCCAACTCCCACATCCACCATTCCTCTGAGATCAAGATTACTCCCTTGCACTCCAGAATCTATGATGTGCTCTCTGGGAGGACAGACAGAGTTCCAAGGACATGGACAGGTCCTGTCCAAGCCTCAGTTTCCCCAGCTGACACAGGAAGACGCACAGGCACAGCAATTTCTTCCCTCCCCCAAGTCTTCTCCACCAGCACTCTGGGTGGAGTGGGCGTCTGAACCCACCCTCAATCATTTTTAATAAGATCCTACCCAGAGCTCAGTTCCGTGATCTTGATCTCTTCCTCAGCTCTAATTTCCTGCCTGACTCAGGCCCCTCAAAGGCTGGAGGAGGCAGCTTGCGGGCGGCCCCTCATGCCAGCTCCCAGCTCCAGTCCTGGCCCCTTAGGAGTTGGAGAGATGGGCAAGGTGGCTCGCTCATCCTCTATCCCTGCAACTGAGGAGGGGGAATCGCTAAGCAGCCCAGGGTCCACTGACCTGGTCCCAGCTGGCCATTGCCCACTGCAGATTGCTTTTTCCCAAATCTGAAACTCCAGTCTTCGCATCATCTGAACTCAGAGCCCATTGAAATGTGGATGGGCTCCAGCCCTGCGCTCCTCAGCTGCAGCGCCTGCCTCCCAGCCAATCCCTGGGGACAATGCATTGTGCTGGAAGATTTCAAAGCATACCTTGGGTAACTGGAGCAGAAGCCTGCTGGCACATTTCCCCACTGCGGAATGTCAGAGAGGGAAACTGAGGCTCAGAGGAAGCACTTGGAGAAAGAGCTAGAACTTCAGGTTCCCTGGGAGTAGGAGAATCTTTCCCATCCATTTGGATGGGAAGAATGGATACTGGGAGGAATTTCTCCATCCCTAACCTGCCTAAGGGTCTACAAGAGGGAGGTCCATGCTGAAAGGGGGGACAATAATAATGAATATAGCCCTGACTTTTATTGAATGCCTACTATAGAGTAGGCACATGTTAAACACTTTAAATGAATTATCTCATTGAATACTTGCCATACTCAATGACGTTGATATTTTTTTTTTTAAAGAGAGAGTGAGAGAGAGGGGGACAGAGAGAGAGAGAGAGAGAGAGAGAGAGAATTTTAACATTTATTTATCTTTTCTTAGTTCTCGGTGGACACAACATCTTTGTTGGTATGTGGTGCTGCTGAGGATCGAACCCGGGCCGCACGCATGCTAGGCGAGCGCGCTACCGCTTGAGCCACATCCCCAGCCCCCGACGTTGATATTTTTAATGTCCCTATTTTACAGATGAGAAAACTAAGATACAGGCAGATTATGCAACTTTCTGGAGTCCACGGTTAATAACTGGGAGAGCCAGAATTCACAGCCAGGCAGGCTGCCTCCACATCTGGCGCCCTTCACCAGATTAGGGTACTGTCCCCCATCTGGAACCCAAGGGAGTGAAGAGATAGGTCCAAAATCCAGGGACCTCCCTCTCTGGAATCCTAGTTCTGGAGACTGCTGTGGGCTCTTGGTCATGCTCTTGGGGTCCCCCTGCCTCTCCAGGGGAGAATTTAAGATTATGGGCAGTGTTTTCTGTGGCTTTGTCCCCACTTCCACCTGCTGGCCAACATTCCCCACCCCCACCCCCTGAAGCACTGTCAGGGATCTCTCTAGAAGGATCCCAGCAGGTCCATTCAACCAGAACCCCACCTACAGCAGGCAGGTTCTGCCTGACCTCTGCCCAATAACGGCGCTGTAGCTCCCTCCCAGGGCCTGGCCATCTCTCTGTCCAGTTCCCTGTTCCCTCCATTCTCTGGAAGAGATGGGAAGTCCCTCCTGAAGCAGCTCACTTTTGCTCCAGGCCTTAAGTCTGGGGATAGAGATGGGTGCATTTCCAGAATACACCTCCTTTTCCCACAGAAATTTGAGATGGTTTAAAACCCCCAGAAACCTTCCTCTATATCCAAATCTCCCCGCCTTCCCAAGACTGTGGTGCTCAGACTTCAACTCAAATCCAAGATTCTGAGGGCTGTGCGCTAGGGCAGAGGGACAGCCACTGACGGCTCTGGCTCTGGGCAGCGCGAGCAGGGACTCCCCAGGAGTCCCCAAACTCTTATGAGAGCGCAGTTGACAACACCACGATGGTGTGTCCCTGAGAATAGGAGGGTGATCAATCAGATCCTTTGCCTAGGAGCCTGGGATGGAGGCGGGTGCTGAGGGTTGGAAGGCCAGGTGAGGCAGGCGTTTACCTGGCTGCGGAAGCAGAAGCGCAGGGGCAGGAGGCACGAGAAGAAGTACTGGCCCCATCGGACCACGCAGGAGAAGCACCAGCTCAGCCGAGTCATGCTGCCCCCGAGAGTGTGCCTGGGGCTCACGGGTCAGTGGAGAGGGTCCAGCTGCGCCTGGGCGCCCAGTGGGGGATGCAGGAGAGGAAAGCGAACGCCCTGCTCCCGGGGTCTCCCGGATCCTTGGCCCGGAGGAGCAGCCCGAGCGTCCTGCACCCTCTAATGGGAGGAGCAGGGTGGCGGTCCCGCGGCGCGGTCCGGACCTGGCTCCATCTTCGCGTAGCGCCTCACTGGGGACACGGGCGGAGGCACGGCGCTTCCACCCTTGGGGACTTTCTCCGGCGGCTCCCCTTCGGTTCCCCTCCGTGGCGGCGTGCCAGCCTCCAGCCTCTGCCTGCCTGCTTCCCCGGCCGGCGGGAGGGAGAGGCGCAGCACCCCGGGAACTTCTGAGCGCGGGGAGCGCGCCGGAGAGGCAGTGGGGACCCGGCAGAGGTGGTGTCAGTCTCCTGGCGTCTGCTTGTGGGAAGGAGCGGCAGCGGTGGGAGCCCGGGTGGCGGTGGCAGCATTGTGCTCCACGCTGCAGTGTGTGTGTGTGTGTGTGTGTGTGTGTGTGTGTGTGTGTGTGTGTGTGTGTGGATTCCCTCCAGATCTCACTCCAATTCCCATATTGCTCCCCAGAGCATAATGTGATTAACTTAAACGGAGGCCTCCGGCTTCCACCACCAAGGCAGAAACCGCCTTGCGCTGGGAATGCTCATGGGGACGCTGCGCACAACCTGGACCTGTGGTCGCGTCTTACTGCCCACTCTGATCCTGGCCACACCCGGCTCCTGGTGGGGATCGCTCTCCAGCAACTCGGGAGTGGGCGCTCAGAGGACTCACAGCTCCCCAACAGGTTGCTAGGCAGGAGAGCGATGTGCAGCCTCGGGCTAAGGCTGCGCCTCCCCTCCCTGCTCCGGGTGCCTCTTCCCATTTCTCTCTGCCAGGTCCCTAGGCCACCGGTCACCAGAGCCTTCCCTGCCTCTGCGATGTCCTCCTCTCAGGAATGTTGTTGGGGTCACCATATTGAGATACTGGAACTAGAGGAGGGGAAGAAAAAGGGGGAGACGGAGGTGCCTGACTCTGGAGAGAGGTGAACAATCAGAGACGGAGAAACAAAGGGACAGAGCCAGGCAGAGACCCGCGAGCAGACCAGGGGAGCTGGGAGGGGAGCTTCACCCCCAGTTCTGTGGCTGCCGAGAAGCTGGCAGGCAGGGAGCCAAGCCCAGGGAGAAAAGGGGCGGAGGAGCTGCACGGGCCTCTTCCGCAGCAACAAGGCCGCTGGGCGCCAGCCAGACCCCTGCCAACCATCCCCGCCGCTCTATTCCCCGCCTGCGCTTCCCCGCATCGTCTGGGGCTGGCTTTCCCTGCAGGCTGCCTCCCCGCCCCCTTCCCTCCCTGCTCCAACCAGGGCCTCTTTCTCAACAGGTAGGCTGAGGGCCTGGGGGTTTCTTGCTAGCTCAATCCTGCTTCCAGTCTCTCCTCTGCAGCAGCAGACCCCTGGGGCCCTGCTCCAGGTGGGCTTCTGCTGCCCACCCAACAAGGCAACAGGTCCACATTGGCAGGGACACTGGGCAGGGACACAGAGGTAGGCCAGCCAGCCAGGGAGGAGGAGGTTGCTGCTGGTGTGCAGACAGAGATGGGCAAAGTCGGACATGAGGGCGCCTCACCTCCTAAAACTCCCCCAAGCAAGGGGACCACCATCACCCCCACCACCACTCGAGCCCTGATGAAAGCTGGAGGGGACTTCAGGGAGGTCAGTGGAGAGAGAGGTGGCATGACCCTCACTAAAGCTAGCCCGTCCCTAGCAGCCTGCCTTTGTCCACACACACCATTCCCAGCAAAGGGTCTGGCTCTGCCCAAACCTACTCCAGGCCTGACGGGGGGCCTTAACTCCCCAAAGCCACTACCACCACCTTGGGACAGAGAAAATAGATGAGGCCTAAGAAACGAGAAAATGGGGTTTGAGCCACAGTGGAAGGAACTTTAATTGAAAGGAATCCCTTGGATTTTTAAGACAAGAGGAAATTTTTCAGATAAGATTGGCTGACATGTTCCCCACCCACCCCTGCCACCAGCCTGAGGGAGAGAAAGGCAAGATGACTCTTTTCCCCAGAGGATTCTCACTGCCCCCAACACTTCCACCCTAGGGAATGTACCCAGGAGTGCTCTGTCACCAAGCTCTATCCCCAGTCCTTTCTTTTTTTGAGATAAGGTCTCATTAAGTTGCTGAGGCTGGCCTCAAACTTGCAATCCTCCTACCTCAGCCTCCCGAGTTGCAGAGATTTCAGGCGTGCACCACTGTGCCAGGCTGTCAGAGGGTTCTTAAAGTCTTCTCAGCACTTAGGTTGGCAAAGACACTCTACAAACATAGAAGGCAGAAGGGAGGGTCGAAAGGAAAGGGATTCAGCCCTTCTCAACATGAAGGTCCTACGGGAAGGGCTCTTCCCATCCAGAAGTTTCTTAAGCCAATGACCCCCTGGAGAGAGGGAAGAGTCTAAGGCTGACTTGAGTTCAGACTTGTTACTGCCCAGCCTTTCCCTCACAGCCTCTGGCCCCATCATGCCCCAGGTAGCTTCATGCCAGGGGTTTCAAGCCATGAAGGTCAAAGTAATCCTGCCCCATGACCTGGATTCTGTTTCACCTCCAGGAGAGGTCCAATCCTGAGATAATACCTGCAGAACCTCCCCACCCCGCAAAGCCCTTCAAGAACCTCCCAGTAAGTCCTAGTGAGGATTTTCTTCCTCTTTCACTTAAGTTCATGGGGTGGGAGTAAGGGACTTCCGGTTCCAAGAGGTCTTCTCCCAGTCTTCATCTCTTTTCTCCCTCAAAGCCTTCAGAGCACCAGAGCCTGCATCCAGCTGTGGTAGGTGCTGGGTACATCTTCCCTCCCTCCGTCTCTCCCTCAGGCCTCGGATCCTCAAGGACAGAGAAGAAAGGCTTCCCATAACTGACCAGATCCAGGACGCAGGCCCAGGCACCATGAATTGGAGGTGTGTGTGGTGTGAGGGAGGGATCAGGCCATCCTGGATAGGACCCTGTCTGCCAGAGGCCGCAGGTTGGACCCACAGACAGACCTTTCTGTAGCTCCCTGTGTGGGCCATAAAGCTCTTCCCCAGTTTGAAGAACTGGTCACCAAGCAGAGGAGGACCTCAGGGTTAACTGGTCCTCGAGGAATTCTGTCCCCTGCCCTTGCAACATGGCCTTCTCCAGGATCCACTCCCACGGGCCTCCCAGCCCTGCCACCCCGGCTCTTCCTTCCCCCCCTTCTCTCCTCAGCCCGAGCCGGGCCGGCCCACAGGGCTGTGTGGGGTCTGGCCAGGGATGGCAGGAGAAGGCATGTTTCCCACCCTCCTGTGTTCACCTGCCTGAGACCTGGACTCTGAGTGCAGGTCCCAGCCCACAGCTGGGGGGATGGAGGCCCTATTTTCAGGGAGGGGTTTCTCTGGCCCTGCTTCCCACGTTTCCCAAGGCTCAGGAAAGATAAGCCAAGAAAGAACGGGCACCTCCCAGAGGCAGCCGGCACAGGTGTTGGGAAAACAAGAGAGCAGGTGATGGCCCCCGGGCCCCCGGGGACAGCCCCCCGGAGGAGGGCCCACAAGCCCAGGTAGGCACAGAGCGTCCTCTGTCCCCAGCCATCATGGCCATAGTGCCCCTGACTGGTTTTGTCTGGAGGGGGACAAAGGCAGCTCCTGTTAAGAGAAAATCACTTGGGGCATCTGATCGGAGGCTCCGGGTCTCACTTTCACACCCAGAGAGAGATGTGCACACACAGCTCCCCTGGGACCACCCCGTCGTCCTTCTCCCTTAGAGGGGACAGTTCTGGCAGGCCCGTCCTCCTGCCCCCACCCGCCATTTGCTCAGAACCAGAAAGGGAGTGTGTCCCTAGCCTCTACCTCAGGGATCCCCGTCTCCTTTGGGTTTAGTCTCCCAGGCTGGACTTCCAAACCTCTCAGCCCAGCCCCAGGATGGGTCTCGCCAGCTCCACCCACAGGTGACAGCCAACCAGACGGAAGTCCACCTCCAGCCCTGGTCCTCTCTCCACACAACACAACGAGGGCTCCTGCTGAGCTGGGCCCATTTCGTGTGGACTTCAGTGGCAAGGGGTCCCAGGGAAGGCTCTGCCCACCCCATGAAAGTCCTTGGACTCCCTGCATCCCTGTCTGGTGACACCAGAATGTCCTTCATATCACTTAGCGCTGTCCCTGTCACGGATGTATCTGATCACTTCTTCACCATCTCTTCTCCGCCACCAGAACGCCAGCTCCAGGGGACTTGTCCGTCATTCCTGCCTTAACACTGAGCAGGTGCCCGGTGTGTGGGCAATAAACATGGGAAAGAAGGGATGGAGGGAGAGGGCCTTTCCCGTTTCCACTCCACTGCCCACCAGCCGCGGGGATTGTCAGGTTCAGGATTCTTGCGGCTACGGCAGCCAAGAGGACAAGGTCTTCATGCATCTCACTCCACTCACCCCTGAGCAGGGACCTCCTGCGTCCCTGTTCTGAAACAGCTCCCCAATATCCAGTGTTGATTCCAGTTAAACTTGAAAAAGATCCGATCCTTTCCCCAGCCCCTAATTCACAAGAGGACGCACACCTGTAATCCCAGCCGCTCGGGAGGCTGAGGCAGGAGGATCGCGAGTTCAAAGCCAGCTTTAACAACTTAGCAAGGCCCTAAGCAACTCATCGAGACCCTGTCTCTAAATGAAACACACAAAAAAAAGGGCTGGAGATGTGGCTCAGTGGTTAAGTGCTCCTGAGTTCAATCCGAAAGAAAGAGAGAGAGAGAGAGAGAGAGAGAGAGAAAGAAAGAAAGAAAGAAAGAAAGAAAGAAAACGCTGAAGCCCTGAGAGGGAAAGTGACTTGCCAGGGGTCACACAGCTAGAAGGTGCAATGCAAGAACTAGATCAAGTCCTCCGTTTCTGGTTCATTGACTTTTTACAGGACAACATTGCAGCTAGAGAGCAGAGAGGAGGGTGGAGGGAGGCCATGTCTTCTTCTAGAGGCACCCTGAAGAGTTAAGTCCACGGGTCCTCTCTCCCTTCACCACCACTAACTCAGGTCTGTGATCTCTGACAGACAGGAAGTTCCTCTTGATATCTAACCTCCATCCCTCCCTCTCAGATTCCAGACCATTTCCTCTTCATTGGCCTTGTCTGGGGAAGGAGAATAGCATGGTCGCTCTCTTCTGCACAATAAATGCCTTCAGACACTGGCGGCTCATTATTCAAGGCCCCATCCCCCCACCCCCACTCCTCTCTATTCTCCAGGCTGAGAATCCCCGGTCCTCTGGGCCCCTTTCCAAATGACTTCCATCACCACCCAGCAGCTGACATGATAAACGGTGGGTGGGGGAGGAGTGGGGAAAAGACTGGCCTGATGGTGGGTATCGATCCACTGGGGAACCCAAGGCCAGGCCTCCCTCACTGGGCAGCTGGAGGTGGGGAAGAAAGGGCAGGGCCCTGAGGTCATCCCGCTCCC